CGGCACAGCCTCACGCCTGACCTCCGTCAGGAATCAATCTTCTAACGAGGTCTTCTATTTCCTCCAGCTGTGTTTTCGTGGCCTGCCACAGTCCTACTGATGCGAGAAATGCCGTACGATCAATTCCCGCCACGTCCATAGGTACTTTTACCTGGGCGTCCTTCAGCCATAATTCATCCTCATCGGGATCCTAAACTACGCGGAACTCTCTTATAAAGTTCGCGCCTACGTAACAGTCATCCGTCAGAAGTGGCGTAATAGCGACTCTAATTTCCTTTGTGGTTCCCCTTACCTTAAAGGGGAACATCACGTGACCAATTATGGGGCATGGGCGCCCATCAGTGAGCCTTGCATCGCCCGCCCTGGTCACATTCAATCCGAGTCCCATCTCCGATGCCAATCGTAGCCCTAATTGACTCATGACTGTGGATGAGACGCTGGTATCATAGAGTGCTCTAATTTTAAAGTCACTTATGTCTACCCGCAACCACCACCTGGTCTCATCCTCTGGGTCATATCCACGAGTCGCATCTTTCCTCCCTTCGTTGTGCTTTTCAGCGAATTTTTCCTTCCGCTGCTGCGACGACGATGGGCTTGTTTCCACTCGTGGATTCCTTGCTTTTTGTGTGGAGAGATCCAAACCTTTTAGGTTTTCGGGTTGCTCGATCCTTACATTCGTCGAATCTTTCCTCCTCCTCCACAACTTGTATGTGGCCACCTGGTTCAGGATGACCACTCCCCTATTCTGCCGAGGGCTGGCATCGGGCTCGATCGCCTTCTGCTCCAACGTACCGCTAGGTCCTGGGCTCCCTTGATGCCATACCAAGACCTGTTTGGATCCCTGGGTCGTCGACAACTAGCTGTTTCCCAATAACGATGCTGATCTGGAGGGCTGTCTTGCGTTTCATTGGCTAATTTGCGTAAAATCCGCTCAATACCCTCCAGACGCTTCTCCATCTTCTTATCAGTAGTGGAAGCTTGCGTAGCCGATACTGTCTCTTGTACGGTAGGCCTCCTGTCCGCACTGCGGATCTCACTCCTTCGCGCGCGCCTTTCCTTCGCTGGCCATTGCAGTGGTTTGGGATTTACTACCAGCCGTTCTTTTGCTCGGCTGGTAGGCGTGCTGAGGGAAGATCGTCGAGTTGGGGTCTGCGAATACACGTGGAGGACGACCGTAAGACAAGGTGTTTTGTACTTCGGTCGCCCTCCTATTAAATTCTCGTATCGACGTCAACTCGCTCCGACGCGGCTAATCTGGATGTTCGAAAGAAGGTTTACATGGAGCAGATCTAGTAGTCTCTCCAAGGAATTTGGAGGTTACAGTCTATTGACAAGAGCTACCAGGTTGGACACGTAGTCTCGCACTAATTCGTCCTTATTAACAGTTAATTCTCAACGCATACACTAACTGTCGAACAAGTGCGGATCTCCCGTAGTCCTCCGGATCCTCTTCACCTCCTCTTTTGGACGGCTTTCGGTGGGGTAACGTCCCTTCTTTTGGAGGAGCCGGTGTGCTTCACGGAATCCCAGAATCGTAGTGACAGGTGAATGTGTCCTGAAAGTCCACATTACGTCTGGAGCGTGGTTGAACCGAGTCGCTCCGTGAAGAACGGGTTGCATTGGCCATTTCATGCATTCCGGCTTCTAGCTCTAGTATTCTTTGACGCATGTCCAGCGCCTGGCACCCAGCATGCACCTGTATTCCCTGCAGAGTCTGAAGGGTTTCTAGGATTCGACCTACTAACTTGCCGTTGCAGTCGACTCCCTCCTTCAGTGCAGGGTGCAGGATTCCTGCGACCTAAGATCCGGATTTCTCCGTTTTCTCTCCCACTCCTCCTGCTCCTGGGTGCGTAGAACCTTCTGGATGAGCTCATCCTCTTCTTGGCGGCTGGCTTAACCCTCCAATTCCACATCTGGGCTGGCGAATGTCCTTGACATATTCCTTTCCCGTTGATGAGCTTCAGGGGATGGTCGCTGTTCTCATCTGCGCTGAGGTTTTCCAACTCTTCACAGACTGTGCCGAGCCACGCTTGTCGGGTGCGCCTCCTGCGCCCCGCCACCACTTTGCTGTACGTGGTCTCTTCGAAATCGGTGACGGTGTACTCTCCTAGCAACCATCTCCCAAACCTAGCCGCCTGCTGGATTACACTTCCATCCTTGCGCAGCTTTAGATCAGCCAAGTAGCGTTCACGCTGTGCGGAGGTCAGCTCTAATGCCCAATTGTCGATTTGGGCTGACAACAGAGCTATCTTGCCTCCGCACGGATTTAGGATGCGGTCGAGGTTTAAAATTATCGACCTAATCGACCACTATGAGCGGGGTATATACTATTTAGTGCAATTACCCTTAATGCCGCCTTTTTATAAGGCACAAACTCGCGAGATTATGATCGCGTGCAGTCTCTGCAAACTAACTAATAATATTATGAAATATCCTACCTAAGGTCGAAGCCTGCCGTTTGCTTGCTCCGCCTGGCTAATATTTCCTGGACTGCACGCTTGGGTTACGCTCTCTGCCTTTATCGTCGTTAAGGTGTTTCCAATCCCCCTATATCCGCCAAACTCTGGCTGAAATAGGTTAACACCTGATTACTCCGAACGACCTGAAATCACTTCGACCTACTAATAATTATCGCTTTCGGCCCTTTTTACAATTAATTTAACAATTTATAAGTAAAAGTTGGAAGTGACTTAGTTTTTTTCCTCAGTAGAGGGCGTACCGCTCACGATCTCGCGCTACCACCCGTTCAAACCTCCCTAAGCGCTCGCGCAATCGTCTCTCTCTCTCTCTCTCTCTCTCTCGTGCGTCGATTACCTTCCTATTCGCACGAAACGGGTCTTAATACCAGTTGGGCGCCATGTAACGGGGGAGGTTATCTAAAAAAATGGGAAATTTACTTAAGAACAAACTCCCACAGTGCAGAGCTAACCGCCGCTCCGTTAAACACGTATGATTGTACATGTATTCGCCTTTACGTCAGATAATTTCGCTTAATTGTCTTCTATTGAACGGAGTTGAACTCACCTTAAGTCACGTGCCTTGTGACACTCGATGAATCTTAGGTGTGGGCGACTTTACGCCTAATTCACTTAATCCCCTAGATGTCATCAGATTAAAACCTAAATCTTTTACAAATCGCTTAATCTACTGGGAAAATTAAATGACGTAATCGGCGAATAAATTTGACTAACTTTAATTAATAAAAATAACTACAGTCGTTATTGGGCCGAAAGAATAACGCTCGCGAACAGGATTTTACAATGAATACTATCGGATGAGAGAGAGAGAGAGAGAGAGAGAAGATTCGAATTATACCGCGAACTAACGCTCGGAGTAAATACAAAAAAAAATCGCTATCACAATTGACAAAATACCGAATGTATTTTGTCACGCAATAATGACGGGAGGTGCACCTACCCTGCAGTGCAATTACGGTGGACAGCCGTAATTGTTGATGAAATATATCTGCCTTTAATGTGCTGCAATGCTGTTTCTGCACTGCTGCTACTTGCTGTTGCAATACCGTCGTTGCACTCACACACGTAATTGTCCCAGAAAATCTTTAATAACGGCGAAACACGGCGCAAAACAATATCGGCGGTAAACTCGCGTAAACAGCTGAGGCGTTACTGTTTATTCAAATGATCGCGCGCCCCCTCTCTCTCTCTCTTAATTGTTCGTACTAACGCGCGAGAAGCAGAATCGCGAACGGACCGATTAATTAAATCGACTACCGTTGCAAATCTTTATCATGCTTTACAAGGGCTTTAAATAAAAATATTCTGATTTTGACTTCATTACCTTATTTACATAAAATTCACTGTTATAAATCTCCTTGGAAATTGCGAACTGGCGCATTAAACAATAACATAGCGACCATTTTCGAGTTCAACAACGATAAATTAGTATCTGAAATCTGTGTTAATGTTATAGTATCTTTTGAAAAGTATATTTTTCCTATAGATTTTGGAGTGAAGAGTGTCTGATGAAGAACGTGATAGGATTAGGAAAAATCTGATTGAAAACCATACATGACTGTAACTTAAAATTTGAAATTTGACTATTAGTTGGCTATTGATTTAAATTAAAAACTATTATAATTGTTTAAATTTTAGATTGTTTAAATTTTACTTTATATTGTTTAAATTTTAAATTGTTTAAATTTTACTTTATACTTGAGATTATGATCCGTATAAAGTTGCACTTGTTTTTCAAATTTTGTTAATTTATCGCCGTCCCAAATAAAAACAAAGTAATGGCTCGATAGATTTAATTTAATTGTGGGAAGTTCTTGTGGGTATATTGAATTGTATAAGGCAAACTTAACATTATTGGTTTTCGTGACACTGTTGATTCAACGCACTGCTACCCACCAAAAGCCATTTTTTTTTAATTTACGTAAAGCATGGAGGATATTTTTATTGAAAAATAAATGGCCAATCTTTATAGAGACTTTTTTCAAGTTTTAGAAGCTCATCTTTAATTTGGTTTGCGATCATTTGGATCTATGACATCGATGATCAAAGACAAAATGATCCTTTTGTATTTAAACTCCGATATTTCTGAGATAATTTGTAGTATTAAGCTCTACAAGATACTAAATTAAAACTGAATAAATAAACTATCCAATCCATATAATACTTTAGATTAAAAACTATTTCCGCATCCGTATACTAAAATAAGAACCAAAAAATTTCGAAACATTTTTTTCGCAATATCGTTAGCTTTTCGCAAAAGATATGGACTGAAAAATTTTTTTACTCTAATATTTAAAAACTAAAAACTTCAAGCTTTAATTTGCTTATTTGAAATATTTTATACGATTTTACAAAGATACAGTTATTTGAAAAATCATTAAAAATTTGGATGTTTTTAATTCCTTAATTTTTTCTGTTGGTATATTTTTAATTGCCGAATTTGTTATTGCAACTTTTGAAAATCTTAGATAGCCTGATTAAATGAATACAAAATTTTATAACAAAAATAAATCCAATACTTACAAGTTTTTTTCGATCTGCAACGCTTTGTAGATACTGAAGAGATCCAATTTTTTCTGATTTATCTCTTTGTAACCATGGCTGTATACTGCGATATTGTTGATAAAAGTTATTCATATCCGGCACGAGATCTTTTATGATATACATATGTGGAAGAGGATAGATTTGACTTATTTTATTTACATTAGAATCTATTGAACTGAAATAAAATAAAATGTAAAATAATATTTCAGTATAAATAATATACAGTAATTTACCTAATGCAAGCCAATGTATTAATCCCTTCTATGTTCATAGCGCAAGATCCGCATATTCCTTCACGACAAGACCGACGGAATGTTAAGCTTGGGTCTATGTCATTTTTTATTTTTATTAATGCATCCAGAACCATAGGTCCACAACTAAAATCGGTAAAATAATCAATCTTTTGTTATAAATAATAACATAGTATTATATGGCAATCTTTCGAACCTATTCAGATCTACATGAAAATCTTTCATATAAGGTTTCTTATCTGGTTCATCCGGACTCCAGCGGTAGATGGAAAATGTTTTCATACGAACCGCATCGTTACTAATTGAGGATGTACTTAAATTACGAACCTAAAAATACATCAAAATTTATCATAACTCTAAACATTAATCATATTTTCAGAGACATATTAAATGAGAAATGGTGGTAAAAATATTTTAACAACACTTTTGAGTCCTGATAGAAAGTATTATCAATCAAATAATCTTAAGAAGTAACGCTATTAATGATCAAGTAACGACTCTTCAATAAAAATGCCGAAAACTCTATATGATTATTTTACACGATATCCTGCAAAAGTTTTGTACGGAAACCTACAGAATACGAACTTCCATATATTATTCATAACCATATAAATTTCTTTACAGGATACATTGCCTAGTTATCAGCATAATACGATACACATTAAACTATAGGTTACATACACTTGATGAATTATAACGTAATTGTCTGATGCTCCAAAGTTTTAATAAATTATGGCAAAAATTGATCGATCGTTTTATTCTATCTTAGACCGACAGATTCCAAAGTAGTGTCCAAAATAATAAATCCGAAAACAATATCTGATCTTCTTTACAAGAATATCGATAACAAATGATATTATTTTATTCTTTAACCTATATCTCTTTGTATGTATAACGTGGAAATACGGCATATAAATACAAAAGATGGGTAAGAAAATAATATCAGTTATTTAATACAAATCTATATATTCAAATTTTCAATCTGAAAATTCATAATAACAATTATTTCATAGAAAATAACACACGGCATACTCCATTTTAATGCTCCTATATAACGACAATTTTTTAATAGCACAATGTTTCTGAAATTAAATATTTATCAGTGAAAAGACGAGAATTCAACAATAGTCTGTTAATTATTATGAATAGAACAGTCAATAATCAAGTTACTTGTTTTCTTTTCTCTGAAACATAAAAACTCTCTATATGCTAACTGTCCAGCTTGCTAAGACCATAAGACTAACCCTTTCAAATTATTAAAAAATTGTAAACATTCTTCAAGATGTTCTACAAGTATATAAGTACGAGTACAATTTCAATATTATTGATATGTTTGTGGCAAGTATAGAGTCTAATTGTTCTCTCGGTAAATTATGTAATTCATCAATGTTATTAATATTTGTAGTAGAAAAGTAAGAACCCATTATTTTATTCATCACTTTTAAAAAAGGTATGAAAGATACTAAACGTAATTGGCCTGCAGACTTATAAATATTGTAATGAAGCAGTTAACAATGATATTTTTACAATTTCTTGCATCCATTTCCCTTAAACATTTTCGCGTGATAATACTTAGATAGAATTTTCTGCTTGATAGGCCAAGATAACTCACTTTCTCTTCCAACTAGTGGAACCCAACCATCCCAGAAAAGGCGATATAGATAATTCTTGAATACGATTATAAAAGCTTTTATTCCTAATTTCTTTTCATCTGCTTTAAATGTTATGTATTACAAAGTTAGTCTTTGATTTCTGAAATCAATTTCATCTTGATGTTCTATTAATAGTTCATTGTTTTTTTTTGTTATATCGTGATACCGTTATATCGTAATTGTGTTCTGTGTTACTAATTGTAGTTAGTGAAATTTATTTTCTGTTTATACGAGGTCTGTCCCAAAAGTATCCGACCTATCTTCACGTAAAGAGACTCAGGCGACCTCTGGAGGGTATGAACGTCACCAACAATTTCAAACCTTCATGTCAGTAGTTCAAGATAGCGATGAAACGCCTTAGTTCCCGTGCAACGGTTATTTGTTTACAACTTTTTTGCGTTTATCGCAATTCATTTATTGCTAAAAATGGCAGAATGAACCGAGCAGCGAATTCGCATTAAATTATGCTTTAATTTCGGTAAAAGTTGTGCGGAAATTATTGAAATGGTTCAAACAAAACAACAGTTTTCGCAGTGGAAGCTTCCAGTTGACCCTCAGCCAAAAAAAGCCCGTCAAAGTTTAAACAATATCAAGTCAATGTTTGTTTCGTCCTCAAAACGAGTTGAGACTATAAAACATAAAACCCTCTTTCGAAAATTCAAATCAATCACGTTTATCTTTAAAGTAATATATTTTTTTTGCCAACTGTAAACTCAATAGCTCATTTCAAATATTTCAGAAATTCTAATCCCAAACACATGAACAGCGCATGTCACTCAATTGCTTTATTACGCCGTGCTCGCCTCGAGCTCCGATTATTTTATGACAATCTCATATAAAAAGGGTCTTTGGGACTCTAGGCAGTTTTATGCTCCAAAACTGACCGCTACCCTTTCCACAAAAATGCATCTTATTTTGTCAACTCCCACGAGCTTCGTACTTCCTTGCCTCATACCTCCTTATTCAATGAAAATTCATTTCCCAAAAAATGTATACACCCTACGAACTATCGTCGCATCTGTTGCGTCAGACTATAATCAGATTCTCGCAAAACGTTCAGAGAGCAACAGCTCAGCCTTGGCTGTGCAGTCTTATACTTACGAGGGTCGTTTGAAAAGTCCGTGCAAAAATAAAAACTGCTTGATTTTTTTTAATAAATCTTTTTTATTTTTCAACATAATCTCCTTTTAGGCTTATACACTTCATCCAACGCTGCTCTAGTTTGTTAATCCCTTCCAAATAATAGGATTTGTCCAAGGCATTCGTTTCTGCAATCACCTCCTCGTTTGAATAAAATCATTTCCACGCCAGCCATTTTTTCATATTAGGGAACAAATAGTAGTCCGACGGAACCAAGTCTGGAGAATAGGGGGGATGTGAAACGAGTTGGAACCCTATCTCCATCAGTTTTACGGCCACAACTGCTGAGGCGTGAGCTGGCGCATTGTCGTGGTGGAAGAGGACTTTTTTGTGGGCCAATCGTGGACGTTTCTCTAGCAACTCGGTTTTCAAACGATCCAATAACGATGAATAATATACGCCTGTAATGGTTTTACCCTTTTCCAGATAGTCGATGAAGATTATTCTTTGGGAATCCCAAAAGACAGTCGCCAGAACCTTCCCGGCCGAAGGAATTGTCTTCGCCTTTTTCGGAGCAGATTCCCCCTTGGTAACCCACTGTTTAGACTGTTCTTTGGTCTCAGGAGTATAGTGATGTATCCATGTTTCATCTATAGTGATGAAACGACGCTGAAAGTCTTGCGGATTTTGCTGGAACAGCTGCAAACCATTCTTGCAATACTTCACACGATCTCGTTTTTGGTCAATCGTGAGCAATCGCGGCACCTATCTAGCGGATAGTTTTTTCATGTCCAAATGTTAGTGCAAAATATTATGTACCCTCGAGATGCCTACAGTACTAGCAATCTCACGCACCTTCACTCTTTTGTCAGCCATCACCATATCATGGATTTTATCAATGATTTCTAAAGTGGTAACCTCAACAGGGCGTCCAGAACGTTCAGCGTCTTTTGTGCTCATATCGCCACTCTGAAAATTTTAAAACCACTTATAAACCATTCTAATCGAAGGTGCACAATCACCATAATGTTTATCAAGCTTCTGTTTAATCTCCTGAGGCGTTTTGCCTTTGAAAAAGTAATGTTTAATCAATACACGAAATTCTTTTTCGTCCATTTTTTTACAACCACTCGATTTCTTTGATTGAAACGAATGTAAAAAGCAAAGTAATTGGCCAATCTGGCTGAAACTTAGTGTGTGCTCTTCAAAGATATGCCACTGACTGAAAATAACCTTGATACGAGGGTTGCTACTTATATTTTGAGCCTAATAATGAAAAGACAGTAATTTATTATCTAAAATGGCTTTATTGTTTTTCGAAGTATAGTATTCTCCATGATGATAAATGAACTTTTGCATGCGCTCGAACCAATTTTCGTAACACTTTTTCCTCTCTGATTGAGGTACCTCCAAAACATGGTTTTTGAATGCATCAACGGCTTCTTCAGGCGCCGAAAAACGTTGTCCACGCAATTTATTCTTGATATGCGGGAATAAAAAGAAATTATTTGGTGCTAAATCAGGGTTGTATGGAGGATGACCCATCAATTCAACGTTTTGGCCAGTCAAATAGGAGGTTGTTTTAGCTGATGTGTGAGAGCTTGTAATGTCATGATGAAGAATGATCCTTCGTTGTCGCTTCTTTTTTCGTATTTCACCAAGCACTTCTGGCAAACAAATGGTTGTGTACCATTCAGAATTCACTGTTCTACGATGCTCGAACGGTACAGTTGCCACATGTCCAATTATTCTAAAGAAACAGGCGATCATTTGCTTCGAAGTGCTTCGCGCACGAATCACTTTTGTTGGATTCGGCTCGTCTTGGAAGACCCATACAGTGGATTGCTGTTTTGTTTCGGGCTCATATGCATAGATCCAAGATTCGTCACCTGTGTAGATGTTATACACAGCGTTTGATGCACCGCGATTGTATTTTTTGAACATTTCTTTGCACCAATTGATGCGAGCATCTTTTTGAGCTTTTGTCGAATTATGAGGGATCCAACGCGAACAAATCTTTTTTACAGCTAAATGTTCATGCAATATCTTATTGATGCTCGTCATACTAATGCCCAAGGATGCCTCAATCTCACGATATGTTACATGCCGATTTTGCTTTATTAGTTCGTGCACAGCATCAATGTTTTCTGGCACAACAACTGATTTTGGACGACCTTGACGACTTTCATCCCCGAGCGAACTGCGGCCACGATTAAATTCGTTATACCAGCGTTTCACAGTGGCAAGGGATGGGGCTTCATCGCCAAAAGTCGAAGTAAGTTGATCGATGCACTCCTGTCTTGATAGCCCACGTCGAAAGTCGTAGAAAATCATCGCACGAAAATGCTCACGAGTTAATTCCATTTTTTGCCCGAAATGAAGTTTTCAAGTTACTGTGAATAACACAAATTGCACTCAAATGAAAAAATGTTCTGAAGAAGATTATGGTTAAAAATGTCAAACTTTCCAATGGAAACGTCAGATGGCGCCTCTAAACACTTAGTATTGCCAAGGCTCAAAATATAAGTAGCAACCCTCGTACGCACTAGTAGCGCCATCTCTCTGACTTTGCACGGACTTTTCAAACGACTCTCG